ACACACACACACACACACACACACACACACACACACACACACACACAAAGAAGCCAGCAGATTGCATTGAATCACTTCATCAGTCTCCCATCCTGAGCAGCACATTGGCGACACTGGAAAGGAAAAACTCCCTTTTAACAGGAAGAAACCTCCAGCAGAATTACATTCAATTATCTATTTAAAGCATCAGTTTCTGGTAATTTTAATGCTTATAGTTTACAGCTGATGAAAAAAACAAAATTTAATTTACAAAGAATTAGAACAATAAAAAAGGGAAAAAATGGTGGCCTATTCCTGTACAGTATTCACAGTACTTGGAAGGGGCTCCTTTTGTTTGAATTACTGCATTAATTGGATTAATGGGATTAATGGGCTGTGGTGTGGAGACCATCAGTTTGTGGACTAACTGAGGGGTTCTGAAAGCCCAGTTTGCTCTGATAGTGGTCCTCAGCTCAGCTTGAAGAAGCTCAGTTTGGTTCTGGTGTCTCTCATCTTCCTCTTAACAAAACACTATACAAAGTGAGTCAAAAGTCTCAGGACATCATGTCCTACCAGAAAGAAAAGAGAAAATCACATATCTAAGTAACCCAGCAAGTAATTAAGGGGGCTAGGTCCAGAACATGACCACCATCTTTTGAAAACTACCATGTTGGATCAAAATAAAAGGGTGTCCTGTGAATTTTGACTCACTCTATAAATTCTCTGTGTGGTTTGGACCAGGTGTGTCTGCTCTTCCTTTAAGCACAGTGAACCAAGTTAATTCAGGTGTTGGTTCTTTAGGCAGTGTAGTCAGGCCAAAACTCACTAGCAGCATCCCCATGAAGCTCCATGAAGTGCTCTAAAATTTCATTAAAGATGGTTTGAGCCAGAAACAACATGAGAATCATCTTACCTGAGCCAATGAGGAACAGAAAATGACTGGACGGTTGTTTGGTGGTCTAATGTCTTTTTTTTTAGATTCAATTAAATGTTGCCTTTTATTTAAAAGATCAAAAGTCCCAGAGTCTGGAGAAAGAGTAGAGACTGAGGCACAGAACCAAAGTACTTGAGGTTCACTGAAGTTAATTTGAGTCATCTGCTGGTGTTGGTCCACTGGGTCTGTTTATCATATTTTGTTATTTTATCCATTTTTTAAAATCACGACAGCTGACCCAGGTCATTTTAGAGCAGTTCCTGCTTTCCTCTGCTGACAGACTTTTTGGAGATCCATCCATCCATTTTCTTTACTCACTCCTTTCTCTTCGGGTCTTGGGGACCTGGTGCCAGTTTCTAGCAGTCAMTGTGTGAGAAGCATGTTTACAGCCAGGACACATTGTGAGTTCATCACAARCTTTATAAAGAAACTGATTTCATTTCCAGCAGGCCTCCATATCTGCCCATACTGCCAAAAGTACCAGGTTATTGTGCTTGATGTATTGACCATCCCCAYAGACAGGCGTGGGCCAGATCTGTTGTCAAGCTAGCAATGACGACAGTTTATAAGAGTGCCTGGATGTGGTTTGGTTTATGTGGTGCTGGCCCATGCATGGACCACCTCTGGCAAACTGCATCTGGACCACCACTGGACCGTCATTCTTTATGGTATCTGGGCTGTGTGTTAGTGCATTTTGTGGGTAGGGCTGCCACGATTAGTCGACTAGTCAYGATTATGTCACTTATTAAAATCAACAACGACTAATTTAATAGTCATTGCATCATTTTTTAAAATTAGTAATTATTTTGTAGTCGGCTAATAACACTTAGTCGATTTATAAAAATAATCGTTTGTGGCAGCCCTAATTACAACTCTACTGCGCATGTGTGTCAAGGACAGAAAGGCAGACGTGGCAGTGGTAGGTGCTGCAGCAGTTTGGAGAGAAATGAATGAATGAATGATTTATTTGTTCGGGACAGTGTGCAATTAAAACATAATTTGATGCATTGCACCAGATTTAGCTTAAGGCTAATTTACATCTGTAGTCCCATCAAACAGTAAAAACAAAACAACATCCAACAGTAAAATAGAATTAAGAGTGGAAAATAAAAACAGAAAAAATAATATAAAATAAAACATTTTGCAATTAAAAAATACATAAAACCATATAAAACACCCCACCCCACTCTCCAAACATTAAAAAAACGACACGTCAGCTATTAAATTAGTCAACGATTTTAATGGTCGACAATAATTGTAACTAGTTGACTAATCGTGGCAGCCCTGTTTGTGGACCAGACACATTTTGCTATGCGAGTAGGATCACTGTTCTTTATTGGCCAGCAGACTCACACGATCTAAACCTCAGAGAGAATCTAGGGGATTTTGTGAGGAGGAAGATTAGAGACACCAGATCCAACAATGCAGATGAGCTGAAGACCCCTCAGCAGGTCCACATGCTGTTGGCTACAATGACACATTGAACTTATGCAGTAATTCATGCAAAGGAGCCCTTACCACGTATTGAGTGTTTATTGTACAGCACATGGACGCACGATGCATTAGGTCAACATTTTTGTGTGTAAAAGTCATTTTTATTGGTTTTAATTTACATTTTGAATCACTGAAGTAAATTAACTTTTTGATGAAACAAAGTATTGAKATGCAGCTGTAAATCAGATGTAGTAGGTTTTTATTTTTAAATAAAAAGGCACAAAACACTCACTGCTATTACACTGGAATGGAGTAGCTGTCAGTGGTGTGTTATTTGTTTTATTAATGTTGTGTGAGTGCTTGTCTCGTCTGTTTCCCTTGTTTGTGTCAGTTCTTTGTGTTTTTGTCTTCTTTGACTTGATGTCTGCCTGTTTGTTGGTGATCAGGTATGACCAGGAAGAGTCCACGCACGCCTTTGTCAGACATTCATGGAAGCAACACCATCAATGAGAAATCTCCACGGTGAGTTTTCACTTCCTGCAGCTTCTTATGACTGTCAGAATTAGACAATCTTGGAAAGTAATGATTTACGGTAAGTGCAGGGACTGAGCGATGCCCTCGTGCTCCGTCACTTCCTGTGGTTCGTTGTGCACTTTGAGGTTAGCAGCAGCAACTATGACTTTCAGAGCAGCGAGGTTTCAATAAGCCTGCCTTTTGTTACTCAGGAGCACAGTGTGGGGTTGGTAAAAGGAGGAAAAAAGTCCAACTTTACGTAACGTGTGACCTTTGGCCTCCTTATGCCTCGCTCTCCACACTGTGTGTAACACTCTCAGTGAGCACTAAACCCTGGCCAGCTGCTTCCTCCGTGATGTAAAGTCAGAGCTATGCATCGCAGAGGATCGTCCTGGGAGAGATAAATATTCTGTCCCTGCAGGGTGCTTGTCAGCTGAGTAGAACCGCAGACAGTGCAGTACTTTATGGGACTCTCAGTGAGACTATGGAGATAAACAGTCAGTACAAAAGGCGTATTGTAATGTCACCATGTACTGAGATCGATGATCAACAGGGGGAAAACTCTCCTCTGTATTGGAGGCCAGACACAGATAATTTACAAATACTGCATATTTTGGCTCTAAGATTTGGTGTTTGATTTGGGCTTAGACAATAAGCTTTTAAACATTTCTTCAAGAACAGAGTGTAAATAAGTATATAAAAGTAAAAGTTTGGACTGGTTGCTTGCTGGATGTTTGTGGCTCTTCTAAAGTAATTCATAAAGTTGTAATGTAAATCTGGCTCATGGTGTGAGATAAACATGATTGCACAGATAAACTGTGTCTCAGCTGTTCATCCTGCAGCTTCTTCACACAACCAACCTGCTAAAGATGCWACATGCACACACACTGTGCATGACGCAGGCATGCAGCGCTGCATGTGTGATGGGATAGTTGTTTTTGTTTTCATTAGAACTAAATTTAGGTGAAGTTAATCGATCCACTAATGGTTTCCAATATTAACAAAAGACGCTAATCCACTAAGCAAAAGTTAGCTTCTGTATTAACTGTTAGTGGAACTGTACCCACTACTGGAGTTCTGAAAGATGCATCTGCTCATGGCGTTTCTAAAAAATACTCATTCCTCAATATTGTACAAACTGAATCCAAGTTTTAGAGATTTTACTAATAACATGCAGTAACAAATGAAGTTTAAGCTTTCTGGTTTGTTGTACTGAGGCATAAATTGAATTTCAGTATACACTCACCGGCCACTTTATTAGGTACACCTTGCTAGTACCAGATTGGACCCCTTTTGCCTTCAGAACTGCCTCAATCCTTCTTGGCATCGATTCAACAAGGTACTGGAAATATTCCTCAGAGAGTCTGGTCCATATTGACATGATAGCATCACACAGTTGCTGCAGATTTGTTGGCTGCACATCCATGATGAGAATCTCCCGTTCCACCACATCCCAAAGATGCTCTATTGGGTTGAGATCTGGTGACTGGGGAGGCCATTTGAGTACAGTGAACTCATTGTTATGTTCAAGAAACCAGTCTGAGATGATTCACTCTTTATGACATGGAGCGTTATCCTGCTGAAAGTAGCCATCAGAAGATGGTACACTGGTCATAAAGGGATGGACATGGTCAGCAACAATACTCAGGTAGGCTGTGGTGTTGACACGATGCTCAATTGGTACTAATGGGTCCAAAGTTTGTCAGGAAAATATCCCCCACACCGTTGGACCACCACCAGCTTGAACCATTGATACAAGGCAGAATGGATCCATGCTTTCATGTTGTTGATGAAAATTAACAGTTCTGTTCAATACTTTAGTCTCACRGTTCGATATTTTTTCGATACAAAAAAGAGAAATTTCCATGCCCTTTTTAACTTGTCATTTATTTAAATTAATTCTGAACATTTGTTTAACCTCAAAAGTACAGTTTTTAAATTAAATGTTGCTGAAACAGCAAGTTTCTCAGTGGATCTGCGCTCAAAAATGCAGCCTAGGTGGAGTAGTCCCAACACAGATCCACTGATCCTTCAACACAGAGCATCTTCAGAAGACAAGTTGATAAAATTAATTTTAAAAATCTGTATTGTTCGATACAAGTGTGTGTTGAACCTAAAGCACGGTTCGATACGGATACATGTATTGTTGCACCCCTAGTGACAATGTATTAACAATGTATGAACCCATTGGCAGGAGTTCTCCAGCGTCTGGCTGGAACAGGCGCGTTGGTCGACAGGGACGCTTGTCATCCGGCGCCTCCACCACAGAAGAAGACGGCATCTTTGTCAACTCCGCCAGCAGCAAACTCCTGGAGAGAGCCCACGATATCCTGATGTCAGTGACTGAGTATTTTGTGTTTACTTTTATTTCTCCTGCTTGTTAAAATGAATCAGTTTCACTCTCATTTAAATCTTCAAAGCTGTAGTGTACGACTTGTTAAAATTCTACCACTGCTGCTTTTTCCCAGCCTGTTCTGGTAACTAGATTATTTACATGGAGCATGAACACTGAGCAATAAAAGATCACGCTGAAGCTGAAATGTTAATGAGAAATCAAAGAGAACACAAGCTAAATAGAGCAGAACGTAAGCTAAGATCAAAAACAAGCAAAATGTAGTGATAAGCTTAAATTTATAAATCTGTTAATAAAAGCTTAAATTTATAAATCTATAGTGAAAAGCTTAAATTTATAAATCTTAATAAAAGCTGAAACGAGAGGTAAAAGCTAAAATGAGCAAAATGAATGTTTTAAACCTACAATCAACAAAACTGTATCGAAACACTAAAATTTACAAAACTGTAGCTAAATTGTAAGACTGGCAAAAAATACAAAAAAAAAAAAAACACTAAAGCAAGACATTTGTTGAGAGCTAAAAGAGCAAAACTGTTGATAAATACTACAGTTAGTATTTAACTTTATCAAAATGCTACAATTGGCAAACTGTAGCTAAAAGACAAAATTTGCAACTAATTCTAAAATTAGCAAAACAATGGTCAAAGCCAAAGTCAGCAAGACGATAGTTAAAAGGAGCAAAGAAGACAAACACAGCTAGTATTCTGAAGAAGATTGTTTTAGAGGACAATGTTTTTGGAGGAAAAGAGAACTCAATATATTTATGTGGAAAATGTAAAGTTAAATCATTCAAAAATGTAAAATTCATAGAAAGCTACTCTTCAAAGAGCTGAAATTTTTAATATATAAATGTTAGAAATAATACGAAGTATCCAGAAGTAGTTTGATTGAAGAAAATGTACAGAAGAAACTCTAAACAGGAAGCAGGTGGTGTGAATGCTGACTCAGCGACGCTGGTAGTCAGTGATGTTACTAAATGATTTCTAGTTTGTATTCACACCAGGAAAATCCTTTGGACCTCTTGTTTGGTCTGAACCAAAAGCAGTTTAAATTTTAACTTTTTTCCCCTCAAATATGGAGAGGGTGTCTCCTCGTTGCTTCAGGTCTGTCCACGGCTCATGGTTTGTAGCGCAGTGGTAGCATTAGCAACACTGAAGGGCTAATTGTTAGCATGATGCATGGCAACAGTGAACCGAGACCACCTCAAAAGTGGGTCTTGGTCCGGTTGTTTGGTGCGGACCAACGGGGGAAGCATACTGGTCTGTTTAATGTGTACCAAATGTGTCAGGTGTGAATACCCCCTAAAACATCTGGAAATCTGACAAACATCTGCACTGCTGGAGGGTCCTACAGTGGTCCCAGCATTCCTTCCAGCTCAGTGTGCACTGTTCTGTACCTGACCTCTGACCTCTGCACAGGGAGAGGAGAATAAAGCKCCACCTCACTGCCAGAGACACGACCCTCTGAGGGAGAATTACTTTGATGAATGGATGTTGATGTTTCACCTGTTGATTTAAAGTAAACTGCTTTATATTTATTTTTTTCCTTAAACAGGAGGAACAAAAATTACAAATCTAAACCAGTTCTCCCAAAGGTACAGTGCTGCATTACTTTAATATATAGCTGTTGTGTTTTTATGTGTGTGTGCATGTGTCTGTTAGCAAAATATCTCATAAACCACTAAACAAATTTTAGTGAAACTTTTAGAAAGTTTTTATTGGATGTACCTCTACAACTGATTATGGTTTTGAGTCGACCCGATTCAAGATGGCCGTCACAGCTAACTGATCTTAGCAAACATTAAAATGGCTCTAACTCAGTCAGGGAGACATATGTTGAGCTAAAATTTGATGTGGTCGTAGCTGAGACATTCAGAACACATGTTTTTRTTAAGAGTTTAGCCTAAACGTCTCTAACTCTTTTCTTTGTAGCATTTACTGAACGTCAAGTCACTGAAGTACCTGAACAACCTGACGCTTCACGACCGCATCACCAAGTCGCTGCTTCACCTCCACAAGAAGAAGAAACCCCCCAGCATCAGCGCACAGTTTCAGGTCTGAGGCACACGCTGCACAGCTCAGTGATTTACAACACTCTCACAGGAAAAATAACACCAGAAGCAGGCCTGAGAAATGCCCCTGCAGCTGCACATACAATAAAAAAAAACTTCTTTTTTTAACATACAAGTTGTCATGGGAAAAGACGTATTTCAGTCTGCAGCCTTCACTGTTCAGTGACGTAAACCCCCATTTTCTCACTGTTTGTGAGGTTTCTGCTGTGCATTAATACCCACCCAAGAGTCACAATGTGTGATATCATGTCTGGTAATTACAAAAAGACTTGGTGTTTTAACCCAAAAAAAAAAACTGTTCTCATTCACTGACACACCCTTTTGAAATTTATCTGGAAAGTGGATTTTTGTATGGGAAAAATTATAGTGGTGTCCCGATACCGGTTCTTCTCAAAAGAGTACAAGTACTTCAGTTTGGGTACTCGCCAGTGCCAAGTACTTACTGAGTTAGAACCTAAAAATTATGACTTTAAAAACACATTTCTTTTATTTATAACATTCCTTATAGGCCTGCAGCCCCTCTGACTGAATCAAATCAAATATACAGCATGATATACAAGATAAGATGAGATAGACATTTATTGTCATTGTACAGAGCACAATGAAATTACAGTTCAGGGGTCGGATTTATAAAACTGGCGTACGCACAATTTGAGCCCAGAAACTTGCGTACGCCACTTTTTACGCCAAGGTTGTGATTTATAAAATCCAACCTTGACGTGAAAATGTGCGGTGCCTCACGCCAGCTCTGACCCATGCATACGCTCATTTTGGAGACATGAAACTGCGGCACAGATGGTGAAGTGAGGAATTAGAGCCACACTGTGTAATGATCACTGTCAGATATTTAATTTACCTTCAGAA